ATAGCTGTAGAAATATCAGTCCATACATTATTAGAAAGCAACCTATTCCTAGTAAGATTCACGACACCACAGAGTGTCTCAAAAAACAGAACTCAAGGTGGAACTATACCATCTGTAAGTTTATTTTATACATCTGAAGACATTATACAATTTTAGCTATACAGGGAGATGAAATCTTAAGCAGGGGGCACAGCTGTTCTCAGCTCCAGTAACTACCAGCTGCCACTATTGTGAGCCTGGGATCTCTGGTTGGCCATCTTGGTAAGGTGGAAAACTTTGAGAGTAGTAAAGCCCTGCAACAACTCCGCCCCTCGTGGCATCACAGCATATTATCCTACTGTATATTGCATTCCTTTAGTATTACAACTTGAGAAGATTTTGATCATATAAGATTTAGCTATGAGTGGGTTTTAATCATTTTTACACTAGAATTAAATTTGTTAGAATCAACATACTGTAACAGTTTCCAGTGGGTAATAGCATACAGTATTTTTAAATTCCTTTGCAGCATTTTTTGGTGAATCTTCAAGAATTAAACAAGCTGCAGCTCCATAAATTGTGTTCCATATTTACTTTGTGCAGTATAGACTCTGTTTCCATGCAGGCTATGTCTGGTTCATTTTTTCAGACCCTTATGTTAAAGTGTCGCTGCTATGCGATGGCCGCAGATTAAAAAAACGGAAAACAACAACAAAGAAGAGCACTCTCAACCCTGTTTACAACGAGGCCATCATCTTTGACATCCCTCCAGAGAATGTGGAGCAAGTGAGCCTCTCCATCATGGTGATGGACTATGATCGGTAAGTGTGGTCACCTCAGAAAAAATAAGCATGAACTCACATTTATGGCTGACTTGCAGTGGAATTACACAAAAGTTATTGTTTCATTTGTGCAGGTGCAAAACAAATATGACTCAATACAAAACACCACATTCTAAATGTATTGAATATTTGAATAGGTAAGGTTAAGAAAAAATCATCTAAAAAATGCCTATTCTGTTTAGGGATAGTTGATTTCACTTCACATCTTTTCATTTGTCATTAGTAACTTACAAAAGATGTCTTTCATAATGTAAGGTTGTACTGCGAGTCAGTGTTTTCACAATCCCTTGTTTTTTAGGCAATCCATAATATAGCTGGTTTATTTCTAATTATCATGTTAATGAATATGGAAGGCAAGATATTATTTACATAAAATTTCAAAATATTTGCATGCAAGGCAAGCATCTGCTCATTAGGTTCATGCTGCACCTTGAAGGATAACTGTCACGAACAGTTCTTTCCGGGCCCTATGCAGACGACATGATCTGGAAGGGAGTGGGGAAACGCTAGGAAAAAGTCATGCAGGAGAGGGTATGGAGACAGGGGGCATGTCCAAGGGGTGCAGGTGTCCAGGGGGAGTGAGTCCGGGGCGAACAATCCACGAGAAAATTCAAACGGGTATGCAAGACGGAAGGTAGAGTCCAAGGCCAGGGGATCCATCCAGGGAATAAAACCATGAACTGGGTCGGGACCGGCGGGGCGGGGAATCAGGAACAGAAGATTAAAAACATAACGGAGCCAGACGCAGCAGGACCCCGGGCTCTCACGCAGCGGAATTCGATGAGGAACCTCGAGTGACGTCTGCGTCTGGCTTTTAAGGGGGAACGGAAATAGGAAACAGGTGCAAGTAATGGGGCAGAACAAGGAAGGGCTGGAGCGCCCTTAGGAGGAGGAGTAGCAATCATGACAATAACAACAAACTTGTTCATTGCTTTCTATAGCTAAGACATGATCTGTATTTGCTGGTACTGCATTAAGATGTTCTATGGAATGAGTAACAAAACAGTTTGCCATTTCACTGCTACTCATCAAATTCATTTAGTGCTTTTAAATTGTTCCTAGTATCAGTGAGGATCTTCTGTGGTGTTTCTTTGCAGGGTTGGCCACAATGAGGTGATAGGGGTGTGTCGAACAGGCCCGGAGGCTGAAGGCCTCGGTCGAGATCATTGGAATGAAATGTTGGCCTACCCTCGCAAACCGATAACTCACTGGCATGCACTGATAGAGGTAAAATATTTTTCTCTTTAATTGGAAATATGAATAAGCCATTTATGCATCAGAGCTTGTTCTAAATTTATATAAGAACTGTTTGTTAAATGTATACCCAGGCAAAATTCAAGGACCTTATTAGTGTCTAATGCACTCTGTGTTCTTTATTCAGCATCATATCATAAAGTGCTTTATAGTCATGAAGAAATTAGATATCTTCACAGAATATTCTCTGAAAATGGCATCTTGCAGAATTTCAATCTATCCTTTTTCTGGTAAAAAAAGTTGCATAGTTGAAGCCGATCCAATCTGGGGTTTATGAACTTGGTATCACTTCTTTCCCGATTCAGAGACTGTGCAAGTGGAGGTATATTGGTACAGTAGAGGCCGAGGTCAGAGTTTTCCACAGTGAACAACTGCTGCACTTTGCACATGGTTTCAGAGAAAAATTGCCAAGTGAACCTCACCACAGCCTTCCGATATTTCATTTTGAAAAACAAAAAAAGAGAAACAGAAAATTGTTTATCTTGTCTTCTCATCAGGTAGGCAGGCAAATTGAGAAAAGTCCACACAACCTGGACCTTGAAATCAACGTAGGTCATTACTAATAAGTAATGATCTATTTGACCAGTAGCAGTACAGAGATATTTCCTCTCTAATGTCTAAGGTCTAATATTGAGCCTTCACATACTGTAAAAACTGCGGCTATCAGAAGTATCCCCCTTGGACAATTTCACATTTTATTGTGTTACAATATGGAATCTCAATATATTGGGATTTTTTGCCATTGACCGATACAAAGCAGTCTATGCTGGGTAGACTGGACCAGCAGAGGTAAAGTACAGTACAACACATGGAGTAAGATGCGGAACACATGTGATACTGTACGTACAGTACCTGTACGCTCAATATGAAACTAGTCGTATGACACCTTCCTCTTCGCTACATTTACCGGAGGTTTCGAAATTTGGCAGACGTTTTGAAATGTTTCTTTGTGTCTCTTCTTTATAGTTTAGAACATGGCTTTCACTATTCGAAATATGGGTAACAATTCATGTGCTTCGTAGTACTGAATTTTAATAAAAAGAACGTTCTTAAGAAGATGTGCAGTCCGGATTTATAATTCCTTAGTGAATTTAGATTGGGGCTTTAAACACAAGAAAAGGAAATTAAATATCTGTTCCCAGTTAACTGATCAAAAAACGAAACAACCCACAAAACTGTAATTACATTTGTTGTCTGTTTCCATTGTGTTGAGAGACAAAAACTGAGAAAACTGAGAACTCTTCAAAATTAATGCTAACACCTAAACTGGTATATTTATTCTGTATTTTCAATACCTACAGTACCACATTAATAAATGTTTCCTTTATTTCCTTTGGAATTGTATTAGAAAAAAACTGGTTACAAACACTATATGTTAGTGTGAAGTGGATATTTAATCAAATATTAGACTGGTTTCTTGGTAATTTTTTGTGCTGTGCTTCCTTCTTGTCTTGTTATAAATGAAACATTTCACTTTGGAGAAGAATGAAGTACAGTGCTAATGACTGCCTTTGAGCAATCTTCAGCGCTAGATTGATTTTAATCTAAACGTGCACTGTAGACGAGTGTTGGTTGGAAAAAAAAACTTTCTTTCATCCCAACAAATTTTTCTGGATCACTGTAGATGAGATCATTTCATTTCTAAAGGCCCTTATTAAGTTGATCACATGTCAGCAACAGTTATGCGTGAAATGTCAATTAGTTGAATTATCGTCGGAATGCAATTTTATTTTTGTATTATCTTTTTCCCACAGTGGCCTGGAAGAGCAACTAGCTTTGACAGTCAAGGATCCTGCCCCTCTCCTAAACCACCTCTGACACCATGAAACTCCATCTACTGCACCGCTTTCAGAAAAATAATAACCAGGAATTTCAGATGGGAATTTATTGTTTAATTTTGCATGTTGCAGCAAACGTTATTATTGTTATTTAAGATACTGAGTATCAGTCTTCACTAATTAAAAGGTAATTACTGAAACCAGAGAATGGCATAATCTTAGCTTTAGTCGGGCATCAAGATTGATTTATAGAGCATTCTCATCCTGTGACACACAATAACCTATTGCGTTAATATATAGCTTTATGAACGCTTAGACATAGTAAAACAAGCATTCATACAGTTTAAATACAATCTGATAATGCCAGAAAGTACTATTGTGCGAGCAAAAAAAATTACACTTCATCTTTGGGGTGGGGAGATTCTTTGTTAGTAATACAGTACAAGGACTGACATTCATTAAGGCTTAATTTAATTTAAACAGTATATTAAAACACTTGTCCAGTTACTAAGGGCACAGTGTGGAGATTCTTGGAGTACTATAATTCAGGAATTGATTAGGCCATCCTGCATACGTTTAGTAAAATTATACTACAATTTTAGATTTGTCATGCAGATGTCTCTTCTTCACGTATTTTTTTCAGCTGTTTTAATTTTCGGCCTCTTGCTGACAAATACTGTTGCTGTGATTTTTTTTTAACTAATTACTAGTAAACTTTACGGAAGTTTATTAGCCCCACATTGAAAAAAAAATCAACTAGTTTATATGAGAAAAGAAGAGGAGAGTGACAATATTCTGCTGTTGTTAAAATCAATGCAATCTTGCACAGGACAATATAATTGCATATACAGTACAATGCAATACAGTATTAATATAGTTGGTAACATTGTTCACAAATTACCTATTGTGTTTAAACGCAATAATTTTCTCGTATAAACGAGAAACTTTTCTTGTATAAATGAGATACTATCTTGTATAATCGAGTTTTTTTTTCTCTGTGGTGCAAATAAGCTTCCGTAAAACTTGCAGGGCATTATCTAAAAAGAGATATGTGTACAGGGAGATACCTCCAGAAAAACTGAAGGCACCACTCTGGCCTTATAGATCTTCAAGGCTGATCTTCTCTTCAGAAGGGGTGTGCAGAATGAGTAAATTGTCCAAACTGAAACAAAGACATTGAGGCTACAGGTAAATATATTGCTGCTTAAGAAGGGGTTCTGCTTTTCAAAGAGAGGAGAAAACTGAGATTTTGTGCAATGAGTTTCCAGTTATGACATTTAATGTAGTTATGTAGCTTTATCAAAATTAGTTATAATAGTAACAAATTTCCTCAAGCAGGGGTTGTGGTGCTGTGGTTTCACATAGATTCTTAAGAATTTGCATTGTCATTTTGGATAATTATAGAGAAAAACCTTATACAGTACATATAACAATGTCTTAACTCGTGCAGTCAGTACATACAGTTTGTACAAAAATATCAAAATTTTATTTGCCAAATGTAATAGTGTATTTAATGGTGTGTTGAAAGCTAGAATACAACAATGCATAAAGTAAATGATCCCACATAACATCTGAAATGGCATACTTATAGATACACTGATAAAGATCTTGGTGTTTTCTAAAGTTGATCAGAAAATGCATTTTATGCTATTCCTATATCCTCTTCATTCAAAAATGATCAAAGCGATCCTTTTAACGTTGAGAACAGTTTCACCAAGCACGTTTCCAGGGCTGAATCCCAATCCAAAAGTCCTGAAAACCATCTAGGGCAGATACTGTTAACATTTAAACAATGTTCAATATGGAGTGCTCAGGGTGTAAATCGTTCATCACCAGTTGACTGCTCTTTCTGAAGATCACAAAGTGTACAGTTTGATGAGGTAGTTGGCATTCATGGGTCAGTACTGAAGTTCTGCTTGCTTCTTCCATGTTGGACTTGGTTGACGTCTCTTGCACATTAATTTATCTGGAGTAAGCAATATGAGCAGGTTGGGAACTAAAAGCAATAGAAGCCAAATGTAGCAGGGCATTTTATTCATCAAGATAAACTAAATTATTTCCTTCAGCAGGGAATTCAGAATTATCCTGTTGCAGGTGCTGTCCAAGTGTTCAAAGGATTGTGGGGTCAAATGATCAACATGTCAGAGACCTACTTGAGATCACGTACACTAAACAGACCACTCTTACATTGGTGCTGTGATCCTAATGAAATTTAAGCCAGCTGGAGAAAGCAATGATACTAGAACACATTTGCTTTGCATAGCTATCTTGAGTTAGGGCCTATCACTGGAATTACAGTCTGTAGTACTTCCCAGTAGTTTTCAAAGGGGAACATTGTGTAGTATGCAGTACCTTAGGCATGCGCTGGAGATTAAACAGAATGAGAACCTACTGTACAGGACATATTTCTAATGGCCTTTAGGTGACATCGCAGTCATGCCTTGAAATTGAAAAGATTGATATGAAAATCTGTCTGGGTGTCTGCAAAAAAGCAACGTACCCAAGGAGCTGATTTTGACAGAACCTAATTTAAGTAGGTGGGGATCTCATTAAATCTGCATACCATCTTTAATTCATGCTTCCATTAGCCAGACAACAAAAACACAAACTGTTAAAACAAGTATACAGCACATTCATATTATACCACCAATGTATAATATTGGACCTGCTCCAATGTGTTGAAAACAATGATAATTTCACGTTATTTTCATGCTTTAATTCGTACCTAGATTCACCCCCAGTATATTTCAGTGCAGTTATGTTTTAGTAAATATCTATTTCTTCCTAACTGGTGCTTTGGGTAGTTTGCCTAATTAATGAATATGCTTAGCAACAGCTGTTCAGGTGAAGTCAGGCAGCCTCGTTTTAATTAATTATAGTCTTATGATTTTTTGGGGGGGCTCTGGCATTTTACTGTCAAACACTACTACAAATGCTTACATCCTTATTTTTCTATTTTTTATAGCAGGACAGAATGTTCACTAAAATCAGCTGTTTAAGTGAAAAAAAATTCCAGAGCCTTCTCAAGCCAGAGATCTGTACATCTCCCTGATTATGCTCACAATGTTTCATAAAGCAGATTTTTTAAGTATATTAATAAAAAAATGTAGCTAGAATGTATTGCTTTCACTGCCTAGGTCAGAATAAAAGGTTCCTTCTGATTTCGGAAAAATAAAGATACTTCAGATCATCTAAAACTGAAACTTTTCAATAAAGTAAAAACGTATCCCTCCTCTGTCTCTCTCCAAATAGAGAATTTTCTCATCAAGTAAAGTAAACACCAGAAATAAATTGGTCTAATTACTACTTTTGAAAATTAAAAACATTGCAAAACACTTAATTTAATTTACACTGTGTGGATAGTATGGAAAATATTTTTCAGTTATTTCAATTTCAGTTTTTTTTAAACGAGATTGTGCCATTTATGTTGGTATTGGTCTTCAAAAACTGCAAAATAACAAGATAAAGATAAGAAATTAAGATCCTCAGGCACTAGAACAAAGAAGAAAAAAAGCATGTTGCTGAGGCTTTATCTTTCTGCTGTTGTATCACAACAACAACAACAACATCCAGTTAAGAGTCCAATGTTCCATTAATAAATCCTATTACTATTCACTCTGTGTTGCTATATATACTAAGATATATACAGTACAGTACAAGCACCAAACATCTGGCATCTGTTATTTTCTCTATTACATTTTGTTAGACTTTCTACATGACATTTCATTCTATATCAGAACATCTTCTGAAGATGGTAAAATGAAACGTTTTAAAGTGGCAACGTTTTTTTTCCCCATTTGTTTAGAAAATATTTTCTGCCACTTTCACAGAAAACTACAAAACTACATTTTGGGCTACAAACAAATCTCAGAAACAAGCCAATTTTGAAAGGGCTGTTGATTATTTAAATGTCAGGGATAGATTGATTGTACTGCATACAGCACATCAGAGTGGCCCCTACGACAGCATAAGTCACCTCACCCTGAAATGTAGCGTGTACTTCTACAAAGTACTTACTGTAAGAGCTGTCCCTGCAAAGTGTTATATGGAATTAAGAGTACAAAAGATTTTAATAACTGAATGTTATATAAAATTGTACAGTATATACAAATTAGTAATCGTTCAAATGTCCTAGAGTTCAGTATTGGATGTTCAGTACCTGTATGTACAGTAATTTCTTTATTTTGTCTGGTGATATAAGACATGGCCATTGTGTTAAGTGTACAGCTAAAGAGGTCTGTGTTTTGGGTATTTTGTATGCACTCTGCTGCCTTTGTGAGCATTATGGGAAAGCAAAATGTCGAATTGTTTGTTGCACTAGCCTTCACAAAACATTCCACATTAAAGTATTTTTAAAATTGCTGCTCTACGTACTGTAAATTGTAAGCATCTTTGTTATATCTGATTATACTGTATGAAATAACAATAATGGCAATTGCTGAAAGATCTTCTGAAGTGTACAGTTTGTGATAACTTTTGTAACAATTCATAGTTAACATTTGAAATATAATTTTACCGTACCTGTTTCCTATGTATTTTGATGAAGAATAAAAATAAATACTTGAATATTAAGTATTTAAAAACTACGAGTTTTTTCTTTTAACTGCAGGTTCAAAGGCTGGTCATTGCAATATTTTTAATACTGTTTTTATAGAATACCAATGAAGAATGTCTTGTTGACAGCTTTACTCTAACTAAACAACATACAGCAGTGCAGGCTAATGGGATTCCTAATCAATACCTGTACTGTACATACAGGACTGTATAGAGCACTTTTACAGTATAGTCCACACCTTAAGAAGGCTCCACGGCCAAAACGTTTTGTTTTCGTTCTTCTTTTTTTCAGCATGGAATAAGCCTATTACTTGTTCCTTTGCTGCCTATTCATGCTGACGCAGCTACCCACCAAAACAAACAGTGTAGTCCGTTTACTGTACAAAGAATATAAGATAAGACAGGTTAATTTGCAAACAAGAGTGGACTATATGACACATCTTGCTCATTTGGTTGTTAAATGGTGAAGTGAATTTCAAATTTCTTGAATGATCCCAGATCTAGACTCCAAAGATCCACAACTTTAAAGAAGAGTTTTCTATTTTCTGTCCTAAATAAATTCCACTCTTGTTTCCATTTGTGACTCCATGTCCTTGTTTCACTACTGAGTTAGAATAGTCTGAAATAATTTCCTGAGCTGACCCTATCTGCAGTGTATCCCTTAGGATTTCATACTCTTGGATCAAATCTCTCAGTCTCTCAGCCTATTTGTTCTAGGCTGAAGAGCTTTACAGTACCTTCCCTCTACCTGACTGTGTGTGACAATCCCCTGAGACCAGGAATGTTCTGTTGCTCTTCTTTGAACTCTTTCTCAGGCTAGCTATTATTATATCTTCCATCAAGCTAAGTAAACATTAATTCCAAATACTGTAATCACATCACATCACATCATGTACTGACTGCATATATGATATATGGTTGATACATATGTACTGTACCATTCAGTCATTGTTTTGACTTTTACACATATTATATATAATTTTTCATAATATAAGTAAATAATTTTGATATGTAAATACCTACCTCCTACCGTCTGGTTAACGGTATCAAAGCATTCGGTCCAAGTCCAACAGACTACAGAACAGCTTCTACCTCCAGGCAATAAGACTGATAAACAGCCAACCTGCAGCTCCTTTAGCAAATCACCTGTAATGGCTACATGGACACACAGTTTTCACTGTATTCAGCACAACCACACTACTTGTATATATTACATACACCATTGACACATATCAGGTCTACTCATATTGAGTTTTATTCCATTTCTATTACATCTATTATTATGTAACCTTATTTTCATAACCTCAAATTTTGTGATTTTTGTGATTTCTCTGATTTCTGTGATTCTTGTGATTTTCGTGAGCTCGCAGAAAAGACATTTAATTGCCAGCAACTACTGCTGCACGCTGTATTGTGCATTTGATAAATAAACTTTGATCTGATTTGATTTGACCTTGTTTATACATTATTTTCTCCATGAAGCCATTTTCACAAGCCTCATTTCCGTTCCTATCCGATCAGAAGACTCAATTTAATACTGCCCTTTAAAAGTGCTAAATAACGCAGCAACTGTCTCACTTCAATCCCCTTGTTAATGACCTACCTGTATTTCATTCAGATGGTTCAGCTTACTATACATGGTTTTAAGTCCTCAAACTCAATGATAAAACAATTGAAACAAATAAAGAAGACTTGGCTTTGAACAGCTGAGCCTCTGGTTAAGACTCTGAGATAATTATAGTGTAGCAAAAACATAGCTAGGCTTAGCAGCAAGTAGCAAACAAGAAGAAACTATCCTTATTCCACCTATTGGACCTGACCACAAATTCCTGTTGCTTGTGAGCTGACATTGTATGTCTGATTATCAGTGTTTTTTAATATAATAGTTAAGTAAAATTAGTGCCACAATTATATTGATCTACTGTATGAAAGTTATCTAGAAATTTAAAGAAACATTTTTGGTCCTCTTAATATAGTAATTCAAACATCTTCATTGTCATTGTTCTGTCATCTTTTCTACTGTATATGACAGAGCTGTTTAAGTGCTGAAATATGATTGAGGGGATTTGCTTTGTATTCAAGACTACACAGATTATGAGCAGTTACAAATGAGGGTTACAGAAATCAGGAAATGACAGAGAAGATAAATCAATAAGTAAAATAAATTATCATAACCCCCAGCTTGTAAGGATTTGGCCAAGAATATACCCGGGTGGTTAAAAGTACATGAGTTCTTTGTTCTCTGGCACAGCTTTGGTAAAAAGAGTAATTATTCAGGCACACTAAGTTAAACAAATATATGTTAACAATGATAGTGACAAACACACTACATTACTCACAACATAAACTTACAACACACAAGTTTGTCTATGTACAAGTTTACAGACAATGTTTTTTTACAGGTTTTACAGTCACAATGCTCAACCTACACCAGTTTGAAAGGAACAGGTACAGTAATTTCCTTTTTTTCACCTCTTTGCCTTAGCCTTTGCAGTCTACATATGCTAATGCAGCTACTGTACCTACTTGAACATCGACACTAGTTCAAGAGTAGTAGATGCTCCACTACTACTCCACTAGTAGATGGTCCCCTCATCAAAAACAATTGTAAAATTTACCGTGGTATACCTAGGTAAGTTGTGGGTTAATGGTTGTCAATAAGCAGTACAGTAACGCATCATATAAGATCACATTAAGACCACAAAGAGAAATAGATGGGCCACAACAAGAGGAGGGAAAAAGAAAAGAGGAGTTGGGACTTGAAGCTTGTACCAGGCAGGAGTCCCTACTTCATGATCATCCAGATCAACCCTGACTGGAGCTCAATATTTGAACCTTGAGAGAGAGCTCTTGCCATTCTGTGTTTTTAGGGAACTTGGGTTTCCTTGGTAAAAGATACAGTAACTCTTAGAGACATCTTTCCTGCTTGTGGGTGCATTTATAGAATAGGGAGATAGGCTCCCATTTATTTTGTGGGATCCGGGATGCAAAGAGATTTAGCCGCAGGTTGTATTGAATTTATTTAGAAGGCAGCGTACAGTATCTCTTATTGGCCTCTATAGGCATTAAGAGTTTCATACTTAGTAGAAGAGGTTTTTTTTTCTGTGAGATTAGAATGTTAGGCTTTTGAAATGCCTTATCTGTAAATACTGTACAGTACATCAACTTGTGTGTTGTATGTTTTGTTGTGTGTAGTGTAGTTTGTGTCTTGTCATTGTAATAGATAGTTGTTTAACCAAGTGTGCCTGGATTATTACCCTTTTCACTAAAGCTGTGCCTCTAGATATACCAACTGCTTGGGAATATTCGGGGGAAATCACTTACAAGCTGGGGGTTATGAACATGTATTTTACTTATTGACTAAACCGCTCGATCAATCCTGATTTTTACAATTTTCGTAACCCCCCCCTTTTGTAACAATATTTGATATATAACAATATTATATGGTGTCATCCTAAAGTATCAGGAAACCACAATCAAATCAGTAATATGAGCTTTATAGTCAAGCAAATAGTAATTGTGAGATTATATGAGAATGAACAGTAAGTGCATTATTTTATATACAGTATACTGTATATGTCACTGTTGGATAATTTCATGCATACCTTCAATCAGAATACATCATAACATACTTTTTGATCAACCTAATGATTTCATGTGGACATAAGTATTGGGACATATTCACTTCAATACCTGTAATTGTGTAAAAGTCTGTATTGGGGTGCATATCCATTTAAGGCATTAACTCCATAAAATCTATGATCCATTGTGCTCACCAAACGTTTTGTCTGAGATTCCTTGCCCTGCCACCTCCATTCAGTATTCCACGTTCTGACTTCACTTTTTCTTTAGCATGTAATGCTGTTCTTTTAAATGTAATTCTGGGGATTGACTTGATAGGTCTGAGATTTTGTATATTTTTCATTTTGATGAACTACAATACTTGCCTGTAATGGCTGTATGTTCTGCCATTGTCATGTTGCAAGGTGAAGTAATACTGAATAAGTATTGCATCTTTTTTGTCTACATAAGCTGACAAAATGTTTCTATGAATTTCATAATTCATTGTTCCACTGCTATAATTAGTTACATCCAATTGAAGACAAGTTAGTCTGTTCCAGAGACACCCTGACTCCCATACTCTAAAGGTTGTTGGTCATTTCACTGTCAGCAAACGCATATTATTTTGCAGCCCAGCTAACGAACGTTTCCATGTATATCTTCCATGTATGCCAGCAACCATATCACCTTGCAACTCACAACTGGCAGCCCACTGAAGCTCAGCAGGTATGAGCCTGATTCGTACCTAGATGGGAGACTCCTGGGAAAGC